CAATCGCCGACCTATCGGCGATGTATCGCCGGTTCCAGGTCGATGTTTCCCTCCTCTTGCCAGTCTCCCCCTATCGCTGCCCCTCAGACCTACGTAGGCATCCCAGATGGGGTCCGAGCAGATGGGGTCGGAGGATCGCGCCGCATCATAGATGCATCGGCGATGCGGCTCGATGTGGAGCCCGATCTTCTTCCACGCCGACGGCAGCGTGAAGGGGGGACGGCCGAAGACGAGCAAACGGCACAAGCAGAAGCTTGCGGCGGTCCGCGCGGATTTATTTGGATCGCCCAGGGCCTCCCTGGCGGCCCCTCCAGCGCCGCCCATGGCCAGGGAGGGGGGGCTGAAATGCGCGCGGACCTCCGAAAGCTTCTGGTTCGGCTATACTGTTCTCTGTGCTTCTTTGTAAGGGGGGATGGTCAGAGAGCCTACCGATGCCGCTGCTCTCCCTGGAGAGCCCTCCTCGCCGCGCCTGGATTCGCCTCGAAATTCGGGTCAGAATGCGCCCCGGGAGGGGTCCGGGGAGTAGCGGCATCGGTACCCATTTTTTTTTTTCCCCAGGAAGGGCTTCGTCTTGGAGCCTGTTTGGGGGCGGATGTGGCCCAGCGCTGGTTCCAGCCATCGGACATCTAAGAAGAGACAGCTGCATAAACATCATCTTTTGCAGCTCCGCGCGGATTTCTTGGATCGTCGCTGGACCTCCCTGGGCTCAGGGGCAAAGTTCCTTGAGCCAAACCGCGGGCGGGCTGGAGTCCGCCACGGGCATCTACCGCCTCTCCGTAGCACCCAGGGGCAGCGTTGCGGTCAAGACGCTGGGATGAGGGCCACTTTGGGTTTAGGAGGAGAAGGAGGGTCGAGTCCAACTGCCCGCGGGTTCAAAGTGGAATAGAAGCTTTTATCCCAACCTCTACTCCTGACTGGGGGCATCATCATGACTGCTGCGCGCGCCCCTCTGGGGACGATTCTCCTCCTTCCCACCATGTGCCAAGGAAGATGCACTGGCGAAAAACAGCGGTTGTGTTTGAGACGCGGCTTGTTCTTCACCTACAGCTTGTACTGCCCCTGATGGAGCTGCTGTGATTACCCTTGGTCTTGTCTCTGTGCCCCAGTAGGTCTGCTAGATTGAGCAACTCGTCGAGCACCTTTCCCTCATCTTCGGCGGTGTCGGGGCGCTTCCTCTGGAGCGCTCTGTTCCACTTACATCTTGCATGGTGGCTCGTGAAATGCTGATTACAAGGCTCGGTCAGGCTAAACTCCTCGCTGGCCTTGGCCCATTCCTCCGCGGGAGGAGCAAATGAATATTACTTGGTCCTCCGAGTGGCATGCAATACACATTCTAGGCGCTTCTCGTAAACCCACCAGCCCATCCAGAAGCGATGCCCACACGAGTTGCCCTGATCAGGGATCTGGAGTATAATGCAGTGGAATAAAGGCTTGGGTCAGACGTCGTACCCAAAGAGGAGGAGGAGGAGGGAGGCATAGTCGGACGAGGAGGAGGAGGAGGAAGCCGAGGAGGAGGCGGAGGAGCAGGAGTTAGAGAAATAATATGTAGCACAAGTCCAATCACCAGACGAAGACGATACATAATCATAATATTGATCATAAGAGTTATGGTAGTAATAAGCGTAGTATGTATAAAAAACAATAACATCAGTAATACTACTAACACTAATCAGACTTAGACGAATCATTTTATTCAAAATAATACGATTAATTTTGATATTCATAAGAGGAGGATGAGCAGCAGGATGATGATGATGAGGAGGAGGAGGGCGAGGATGAGTAAGGGGGAGGATAACGGGGGAAAAAAGAGGAGGAGACGGAGGAGGAGGAGGAGAAGGAGGAGGAGGAGGAGGTACAGCCAAGACTCTGAAACCAGGACTGGTTTGGGTTGGGAAGGGGCTCGCTGTTCCTTGGGTCATGCCGTGGTTGTTCCTCTAGCCATCCTTAGTCACCTTGGCACTTCTGGTGCCAAACAGGGGCTTCGTTTCTTGTTTGTCGTTGCTTAGTGTAGTGGCCTCTGGCCAGTGCCGCCGCTCCAGGACGCTTCCGTTGCTGCCGGAAGCGCGCGATGGCGATCATGACCGGCGACGACGGCGAGCGGTGAGGATGATGATGAGGATTGGGAATGGAGTCAACGGGGTAGGAGGAGGAGGAGGAGGAGGAGGAGGAGGAGGAGGTGGAGGAGGAGGAGGATGATGAGGTGGATGGGGGTGGGGGGGGAGGGGCAGGAGTAGCAGGATGCTGAGGATGAGGAGGAGCAGGAGGAAGCGGGAAGTGGAACAAGGGGAGGGAGAGAAGGCGGATCATGACGACTATGAGGAGATTTTCGGCGGTTGTTGGAAATGTTCGGCGGTTGCTGGAAAGCCTCTTTGGGGTTGGGTGGTGGCCTTCTTTGGATTGACACCTCGCCGATTTGGCGCGCTCCCAGGAAAGCTTTGTGTTAGAGCTGCCTGCGTCGCAGTTCTTTGCGGAGCCTTGTGCATCACCGGTCTCTGCTGGGAACCGCGGTGTTTTTGGGGTCTCTGGGGCCTTCGCGCGGTCCTCTGCGGGCCCATGTGCGATCATGGATGTGAAGGACACCGAAGACGGGAGAATGTGTGAAAGTGTGGAATAACCCTTTCGTGTTGCAGCGCTTGTCCGCAGGCGTAAGCGTTCACGAAGCGTTGGTGCCAGTTTTGGGCTTATAGGGGGGGATCTAGAAGGCGTCTTGGGTGTATTTTTTGAAACTCTTGGGGGCTTTTAGGGGGCTTCAGGGGGCCTCTTCGGGGCCAGTTGGCAGCGTCCTGGGGCTGCTTCAGGTTTCTTGGGGGCCTCTGGGGGCTTGCTGTGGGTTTCTTGGGCCGTGTTCGGCATTTTTTCCGCCGTCTTGGCGCCCTCTGAGGCGCCTCTTGGGCCCGTCCTGGGGCCCTCTCGGGCCTTTCCAGGGACCTCCTGGGCCATCCTGGGCTCTTCTTGGGCCGCCCTGGAGCCCTCTTGGTGGCTTCTTGGGCCGTCTTGGGGGATCTCTTGGGGGCGTGTGCGACGATTAGAAGGCCCAAGAGGCGGATGTGCTAAAATTGTACGCTTCCCCAGGGAACGGGGCACTTTGTCGTATTTGAGCCTTCTTTGGGAAGCCTTTTTCAGGGCGTCGGAGGGCCTCTTGGAGGCTTCTGGAGCCGTCTTGGGGACATCTTGGGCTTCTTGTGGCGATCGTTCGGCGACTCGGGGCCCTCTTGGCCCTCGTTGGGGCCCTCCCGGGCGAGGGGGCCGCCCCCGGAGTCCGGCACCCGCCCCCCCAAGCAGAGCTGGCGTTTCTGGTGCCAAGCGGGGGCTTCGTTTCTTGTTTGTCGTTGCTTAGTGTAGTGGCCTCTGGCCAGTGCCGCCGCTCCAGGACGCTTCCGTTGCTGCCGGAAGCGCGCGATGGCGGTCATGACCGGCGACGACGGCGAGTCATGAGCGTCAGCAGCCCGACGGAAGGCTTTGGGGAGAAAATATCGACCCCCAATCGCTTGATGGTCCGGCAGGGGCCCGAGAGCCCGCCCCGCCGCCGACCGCTCGGTCTTGCTGCCGGGGGGCCTCTGGCCGATCCGTCGGCGACGTATCGCCGATTTTCAGGTCGATGTGTCCCCCCTTGTGCCAGTCTCCCCCTATCGTTGCCACTCCGACTTAGACTCAGACTCGCCCATTGATCGCCGATAAGGGGTCTCTTAGTCCCATCCCGCTCAGGAGCGTGGGGGCTTGTCATCGGGAGCCTATCGCCGACCTATCGGCGATGTATCGCCGATTCCAGGTCGATGTTTCCCTCCTCTTGCCAGTCCCCCCCTATCGCTGCCACTCCGACCTGGGCCCCCCAGATGGGGCCCGAACGAATCGGGTCGGAGGATTGCGCCGCGTCGCAGATGCATCGGCGATGCGGCTCGATGTGGAGCCCGATCTTCGTCCACGCCGACGGCAGCGTGAAGGGGGGACGGCCGAAGACGAACAAACGGCATAAACTGATTTTTTTGGCGGTGCCCGCTGTTCCCTCTTTGAGCGGGTCCTTCGGTCGCTGCCCATCGCGTCTTCCCATGGCGGGCAACCGAGCCGCCCGCAGCGCAATCGTGTGTTTCTCTGTCAATTCAGCTTTGCCTGTGCCCGCACGCCGCCACCTGGCACAGTTTTTTCCTGCCAGTGCGCCGTCTGGACGCGGCTGCTGGCTATCTCCGATCCTTGCCCCTCAGGTGCGCATCCGCTCTATCTCCACGCCGATGAGGATCAGTGAGGGGGATGGGCTCAGGGGGGATGCATCGACCCTCAATCGCCCGTTGACCCGGTAGGGGCCCGCTGGCCCACTTTCCAGCGATGCATCACCGACTCCAGCCTGATGTTGCGTTTATGAGCCGGTCCTCTGATCGCTGCCCCCCCAGGTGCGCATCCACTCCATCGCCACGCCGATGAATTGGTTCGCCCCGTTCCAGAGGTCGGGGGGCGCAAAGTGTGCGCCCTCACGGCGCACGCCGCTCCTGTCCGGGCCCCAGGGTCGGTGTGTGTGTGTGTGTGTGTGTGTGTGCGCCTTCCCGGCTTGGCCAGGGGTGCATGCACACCGATGCTTGGCCCAGGGCTCAAGCAGGAAATCGACTGCAGAAATGAGTTGCCCCAGACTTGACATGTTCGTCGAGTCTACTACAAAGGCGTCTGAGCTTCGCCACGATGTAGGTGTTCGTCGAATCCTGCGACACATGCAAGAGCATCGAGCAAGTGGTGCGATTGCGAGTGGGAGGGAGGAGGAGGAGGAGGAGGAGGAGGAGGAGGAGGAGGAGGAGGAGGAGGAGGAGGAGGAGGAGGAGGAGGAGGAGGAGGAGGAGGAGGAGGAGGAGGAGGAGGAGGGAGGAGGAGGAGGAGGAGGAGGAGGCGGAGGAGGAGGAGGAGGAGGAGGAGGAGGAGGAGGAGGAGGAGGAGGAGGAGGAGGAGGAGGAGGAGGAGGAGGAGGAGGAGGAGGAGGAGGAGGAGGAGGAGGAGGAGGAGAGGAGGAGGAGGAGGAGGACGGAGGAGGAGGAGGAGGAGGAGGAGGAGGAGGAGGAGGAGGAGGAGGAGGAGGAGGAGGAGGAGGAGGAGGAGGAGGAGGAGGGAGAGGAGGAGGGAGGAGGAGGAGGAGGAGGAGGAGGAGGAGGAGGAGGGAGGAGGAGGAGGAGGAGGAGGAGGAGAGGAGGAGGAGGAGGAGGAGGAGGAGGAGGAGGAGGGGAGGAGGAGGAGGAGGAGGAGGAGGAGGAGGAGGAGGAGGGCGAGGAGGAGGACGAGGCATTCAGAGGAAAACGGGCCGGGGGAGGGAGTTCCGTGCGGGATTCTCGAAGGCCTGGCACGTGGCGAGCCCCGCCCTCTTCCGGGCTCCAGCCTGGCCCGTCCGGCCTGCAGGTCGGGGCTGGACCCCAACGGTGTTTTGGCCATCTCGTGGGCCGGTCGGTTTTTCGTTTTGTTTGGCATTGAAGGCGAAGCGAAGGCAAAGCGAGGAAGAACGAACAACAACACGAAGACGAACAACACCGTTCAGGTCCAGCCCTGCTGCAGGTCATTTGGCTCTCTCTTTCTCTCTCTCTCTCTCTTTTTTTTTTTTTTTTTTTTTTTTTTTTTTTTTGTCTCTCTCTCTCTCTCTCAATATATATATATATATATATATATATGCAATCATCGCTGTTTGGCAGTCGCACCACTGGAGCGACGGGAGAAAACGGGGTCGACTGCACGGGCATTCGCGCGCAAGCTTCCCGCGTGACGTCGCGCGCAGGCGCGCTCTTCGCGCGGTGAGCCACGCTGGCGGCCCGCGTACGCCACTGCGTACCGTCTCTGTGTTGTCGCGCGTAAGGCCCATAGTTACGTCGTTCACGATTGATAGCACGGAGGAGGAGGAGCAGGATGAAGAGGATGATGAGGAGGAGGAGGAGGAGGAGGAGGAGGAGGAGGAGGAGGAGGAGGAAGAGGGGGAGGAGGAGGCCACCAGGTGGACCAGAGGACACCCGGCCCACCGCCTACGTCTTCGTCGACTCCCAGACCCTCCGTCTTGGTCAGTCTCTCGAGGCGGATCCAGTCGTGACGACGAGCAGCTCCAAGGAGAGGCCGAGAACGAGCGAGAAGCGCCAGGCCTGGAAATCCGACGCCACGAACAGGTGGCAAGCTCGCAGAACAACTCGACCGGAGCCCTGGACCCCATCCTTCCGCGGCACTTTCCGAGCCCGACCGATCCGTGACGGCAAATGCGCTCGAGACTAAGTCGGGCCTGTCCCTCTACAGAAGGAATATCCCCAAAATAGTCCAAAAATAGCCTGGGGACGATTTTGCACAATTGTTTTACAAATAAAACTAAGCCGGGCCTGTCCCCCTACAGAAGGAATATCCCCAAATAGTCAAAAAAAATAGTCGGGGGACCATCTTGGACTGTTTTGGAAGAATCTATTCTTTGATTTGTTAGCTCTCGTCCAGAATCCGCCTGTAGGAGGCCATGCCCGACCTAAAAGTAAGGTCGCAACGCCCGGGGCCCAGGGGGTTAGGGGCGCCGTGGCCTCGACGCGGCCCTCTTCCGGCGGCAGGGCCGCGGACAGCGGGCCCCAGAGGGCCCACGTTGAGGAGACACGCCAGGACAACAACAGCGCGCAGGGAGCGGCTTGCATAAGGAACACCTTCGAAAGGGGCTCGGTCGTTCCTCAGGCTTGCATGCGTTATTCATCGTTCCCTCGGCGCTATTTATTAATCGAATCGCTTCGCTCATTCCGCCGGCCCATTTCGCATGACTGAGCCTCTTGGGGCCGCTGGGGGGCCTCGTCAGCGTCGATTGGGGGCCTCCTGAGGGCCTCTTGGGGGCTTTTTGGGCCTCTCAGGGGCCTCTTGAGGCCTCCTGGGGGCTTCTTAAGGCCGAGGGCTCGAAGTTTTGTTTTGTGTTCCCCCTTTGGGGCATCGCTTGGGGCCCTCTTGGGCCCCTCTTGGGCCCTCTTGGATGCCTCTGGGGCCGTCTTGGAGCCCTCTTGGGCCATCTTGGGGCCTTCTTGGGAGCTTCTTGGGCCCTCTTGGGGCGATCTTGGCTCTTGGGCCGTCTTGGGGCGTCGGGAAGCCGAAAAGATGGACACGCCAAAATCTGCCCAAAACCTAAGGAAAAGTAATGAATTTTGCCTCTTGGGGCCCTCTGGGGAGTGCTCTTGGAGGCCTCTTGGGGCGTCTGGAGGCCATCTTGGGCGTCTTGGAAAGATCGTGTGGCATCTCGGAGCACTCTTGAACCATCTTGGAGGGCTCTTGGCGGCCTCGTGGCCCTTCTTGGGGCTCTCTGGAGGGCCACGGGGGCGGCGCCCAGGAGGAAAACCACCTCTGACCCGACCCTGCCGGGGATCGCCCGGGGTACTTTTCGTCCGGGGACCCCCAGGGGCCGCCCCGCGCGCGCGAAGTAGAAGTATAGTTTAATTGTTACCGGAGATCTTAGCACGCCTCTGGCCCGTTGGGCCGGCGAATTCTCGTTCCTTATGCGTTACTCCTCAAAAAAGGGCTTCGTTCCTTCTTTATCGTTCCTTAGGTCAGGCCGATGACTGTATGTCGGGAAGTGGAGCGAGCGAGAAGCGTCAGTCCAGGCCTCCCAGATGGGGTCGGTGGGAGTAGATGGGCTCGGAGGGTCGCGCCGCATCGCCGATGCATGGGCGGTGCGGCTCGAGGTGGAGCCCGATGTTCTCCACGCCATCGCCGATGCATCGGCGACGCATCGCCGATGTATCGCCGATGCATCGGTGATGCGTCGGCGATGCGGCGCGATCCTCCAAGCTCATCTGCTTGGACCCCAGCTGGGAGGCCCCTACAATCTGGGTCACCTTCCGAAGGGTACCCTTGCATCCGTGTCTCTTTGGTCTATCCTTGACAAGCCTCAACATGGGCGCACAAGGGGCCTGCATCTTTATTGCGCATCCTGAACATGTTATCAGTTTTCGCTGTAGAAGCGCCAGGGAGCCCGACTCTCCACGCCGACGTCGCCGATGCATCGGCGACGCATCGGTGATGCATCGTTGACGCATTGGATCAGCCACGCGCAGAGGGGGGTGGGGGGAGGGCTTCCTAGAAGCACCCCTGCTTCTTCGAAGGCGCGGGCCCTCATCTGTAGATGTGAGGCCAGCGCCTTCTGAGACGCAGCCCCCTCCCACGAAGCCCTTTCCCCCCCCTCCCCCCACCCCCTCTGTGCGCACCGCCAGTTAGGACCCCCTCTTCGGAGGCCCCCAGGAGCGCCAGCGGAGCCCCTCCGATCCGCCAGGGCCCCGGGGCGCCGCAGGCGGCACCGGGATCCAGAGTGCCTGCAGCTGGGCTTACGTCGGGCCTGTCCCTCCTCAGGAGGAACATTCGAGCATAGTTAATACGCATCGCCTGGGGACGTGTTTTTTGTTTGTATACGTGTTTTTGGGGTATTCTTTTTTTCCCCATATCCAAAGGATAGGGTTCTTGTTATTCTCCGACCGCGCCGGACCACCCACACCATGAGATGATGACCGTGTTATGGTGAGAGTATGATGTGACTATGATGGTGAAGGTGAATAATGGATGAGCATGATGGTGATGATGATGATGATGATGATGATGATGATGATGATGATGATGATGATGATGATGATGATGATGATGATGATGATGATGATACTGATACTGATGATGATGATGATGATGATGATGATGATGATGATGATGATGATGCTGATGATGATGATGATGATGATGATGATGATGATGACGATGAGCAGATGATGAGAATGTCTCGAGCGGCTTGCTGGTTTTAGCACTCCTAAGTGGGGGCCGCCAGGGGTACTGCACGGCCTCCGTTCGCGCCCACATGGTGCGGATGTCTCAGGCGGTTTGCCTGTTTTGGTTCCCAACATCCTCTGTTTTGGGAGCAGATTTGGAGGATGTCTCGAGCGCGGCGCTCATTTTCGCCCTCCAGGGGGGCCAGAATACGAGGACGTCTCGATCGGTTTGCCTGTTTTGGTGGCCAGACTCGTGGGCACATATTCTCCCAAGGATGCCACAGGAGGCTCCAGTAGGCTTCAGGAGGCCCCAGGAGGCCACATGAGGTCCCAGGAGGCATCAGGAGGCCACAGGAAGATTCAAGAGGCCACATGATGTCCCAAGAGGCTCCAGAAAGCCCCAGGAAGCTCCAGGAGGCCCCCAGGAGGCCACAGGAGGCCCCAGGAGGCCACAGGAAGCGCCAGGAGGCCCAGTCCCGAGAGGCCCCAGGAGCAGGAGGCCTGAGAAGGCAACAGGAATGGCTCCAGTCTCATGTGTTTTACGTATGCTCCTATAGATTGGGCCTCACCTGGAGCACGAATCCTTTATGTTGTACGTATGTTTCTACCTATTGTCCTTCTCCTGTGTATACAATCCTAGATGTTTTACGTCTGTTCCTATAGATTGGGCCTCCCCTGGGGCACGAGTCCTTAGTGTTTTACGTGTGCTCCTATAAACTGCCCTTCTTCTGTGGCTCCAATTCGCAATCTTTTATATACGTTCGTTCCTACAGATCGGGCTTATCCTGGGGCACGAATCCTCCCTAGGAGGTCCCAGGAGGCTCCAGGAGGCTCCAGGAGGCTACGCGAGGCTCCAGGAGGCCCCAGGAGGCCACTCGAAGCCCCAGGAGGCCCCAGGAGGCCCCAGGAGGCCCCAAGAGGCTTCTGGAGGCCCCAGGAAGGCCCAGGAGGTTTCTGGAGGCCCCAGGAGACCCCAGGCTCATGCGCAGAGACGCGCTCGTACTACCGAGACTCATTCACGCTCCAATCCGTTCAAAGTTGGATTCATGACCAGACCGTCACAACTCAAGCCCGCTTATATTCGAAAACTCCTGCGCCTAACATCTCACGGCGGCCAGGTCCATGCGAATAAAACCACATATGGGGAGCTCCACGCAGTGAATAATTATGTAATGCGCAAATATAAACAAACTTGTTTTAATCCGTAAGGGCTTCGCCCCATACCGCTGGCCCCCTGTCTCGGATAATGGGAGATGCAAAAGCTAAATCATGAGGTCTGGGCGCCGCCGTGAAGCAGTGTCGGGACGTGTTTGTTTTTCGGCCCTGACCCTACGGATCTGCGTGAGGGGTGCCACCGACTTTCAGAAATGAAGCAAATCTTTCGTGTTTTTGGACCCTGACCCTACGGATGTGCCTGAGGGGTGCCGCCGAATTTCAGAAATGTGGCAAATCTTTCGTGTTTTTGGACCCTGACCCTGTCGATCCGCGTGAGGGGTGCCACCGAATTTCAGAAATGTTGAGAGTTACATGTTTTTGCACCCTGACCCCGCCGATCTGCTTGAGGGGTGCCACCGAATTTCAGACATGTGGCGTATCCCATGTGTTTTTGCACCCTGACCCCGCCGATCTGCGAATGTCAGAATTGTGGCAAATCCCAAGTGTTTTTGGACCCTGACCCCGCCGATCTGCCTGCCCGTTTGGGCCTCCCCCCCTCGCGCGGTCCATCAACAAGGAACAGTAAGCAGCAAGAAGCAGAATTGTAATAGTGGAAACTGGAAGCTGCAACTGGTACAGGAAACTGCGAACCTTCGGCCTACAGCCTGGTGGACCCACAAGGGAGCCGGCGGATCTTACATTTTTCGTCCAAGCTCGGCCTGTAGGGGGACAGGCCCGACTTAATGCTGGGCATGGGGAGGCTCTGAGAGTCAGGGGCTCAAGGCAGGGAGACGCCGTACTCTTATACACAGTGGAGACCCACGCCAAAACAAAAACACCCTGCCTGCCTCCAGAGTGCCCTGGGTTTCTTGGGCTTCGATGGCTTCTCCAGGGGAGGCGTGACGCGCCCGCGCCAAGAAATGAACGGAGGCTCTGGGGTCGCAGGGTTGGCCTCTTGTGAAAGGTGTCTTGTGGACTGGCCCCCACGGTACCCCTCCGTGCCGCGCGGCATGGCCCAGGACCCCTTACCATCAGTCTTGGGTGTAGACTCACGTCTGACCTGTCCCTCTACAGGAGGAGTATTCAGATATAGGAACAAAAACAGTCAGGGGACGATTTTTTCTAGCATGCAGCATTCTTTGATGTTTCGCCCAAGATCCGCCTGGAGGAGGACACGTCTGACCCCAGTGCAGCCGCGCCCGCGGAGCCCCTCCTTCGACCCGCCAGGGCCGCGGACACGGGCGCCATCGGCTCCGGCTTCGCCTCCGAGCTGGAGGCGGGGAGGGGGGGGGCGCTGCCGAGGGCCGCGCGGGCGTCTCGGGCCGCCGCCGAGACTCCGGCGATCGCAGGCGGGGCTCAAGGGGGCGTGGATTGGCGACGGGTTCCGTTTCCGTGGGAAGTATCGCGGATTTCCCCCGCCGGGCCAGGCGGCACCGCGGCAGCGGCCGCATTTTGGGGGAGGGCATCTCCCCCGATCCATGGATTTGGCGACCGCGCGCCGAATCCATGGATCGCTAATCCATGATCTTGGCATCGCTGGGGCGTGTGCATTTTTCCTTCGGCGAGGACTATCGAGGAGCATCCTCGACCATTTGGTGGGAAAAACACGCACGAAACCGAAAAAAACACAGGGACTGGACGTCCGAGCGATGGCCAGTGATTGCGCGCCCCCGAGAGACCTCGCCGACTCCAGCGAGGCTTCCGCGCTCTTCGGGAGCTCCCCACGGCTTTCGGGAGGGCCCCTGACCCTCCAGCGGGCTAGAACTTTGCCCTCCAGACCTACAGACCTGCCTGGACTGCTCAAAACCTCGAGTGGATTTGGGATGTCGGAGGTCCTGGGGCTGTTCTTTTTAGCCCATCGCGATGCAAACAACAAAAAGGGGGGGGAGGTTCTCGCGATGTGCGGCCTCCAGGGGCCCCTCCGGGGCCGCACATCGGGGATATAGACCGGGATACTAGGCATCGATATATATATATATATATATATATATGCTCACACCCCCTCCCAAGATCTACCTTTCCCGTGCCCTGTTCCAGTCATCCCCTCCTCCTCATCTTCCCTTCTTCATCATTTTCTTACTTCCCCTCCGTTGTCCCCCCTCCTCATCGTTCCCACTTGCGTCGTTTGCCCGTGGCGAATAATGGAGCACAAGTGAAAACCATCTATTGCACGGGGTATTTGAAGTTACCAGCGCCCCCGAACTACAGCTGACGGAAGAGAAGAAGGGGCGTAACGCTCCAGATCACCTTGGGGCGAAATGCTCCAGCCAGATGCGGGGCGAAATGCTCCAGGGGGCGGAATGCTCCAAATCACGTAGGGGCGAAATGCTCCAGCCAGATACGGGGCGAAATGCTCCAAGGGGCGTAATGCTCCAGATCACGTGGGGGCGAAATGCTCCAGATCACGCGGGGGCGAGATGCTCCAGCCAGATACGGGGCGAAATGCTCCAGGGGGCGTAAAGCTCACACCAGTCGGAGGCAAAACAATTCCAGGCCAACGAGAGACGAAATGCTCCAGGGGAGCGCAGCAATACTGTTTGATCCTTATCTTGGTCCCAGGGTCCGATCGGCCCAGTGGGCGTACTGGCATGCCAACGAGGACCTGTGGCTGGAGACTGGCAAGATGTTCAGCCGCTTGAGGGGGAAGTAGCTTGTAGACCGCAGGCTTAGGGGAGCGCGGCAGGGCGCTTATGAGTAGGCGAGGCCGTGCACGCAACCAGAAGCGCATTGCGCAGCAGAGAAATCAGATGTTCAGCCGCTTGAGGGGGAAGTAGCTTGTAGACCGCAGGCTTAGGGGAGCGCGGCAGGGCGCTTATGAGTAGGCGAGGCCGTGCACGCAACCAGAAGCGCATTGCGCAGCAGAGAAATCTTGAAGCTCACGAAACCTGGCCAGGCGTTTCTCCTGTCTCGGAGCTAAGGAAACTTTGCCAAGCGTGGTGTTTGGTTTCTCTCTAGTCTGGTGGCTCGCGATACCTGGAAAGTCGCTGGTTTTGATTGGTTTGCTGATCTGGGAGGCATGAGAACCTGTGATTTCATTGGTTTTTCTGGTTTTTCTGGTCTGGGAAGCAGGAAAACCTGTGATTTCATTGGTTTTTCTGTTTTTTCTGGTCTGGGAAGCAAGAAAACCTGTGATTTCATTGGTTTTTCGGTCACAGGTTTTCCTTTCCCCCAGACCAGAAAAACCAGAAAAACCAATGAAATCACAGGTTTTCCTGCTTCCCAGACCAGAAAAACCAGAAAAACCAATGACATCACAGGTTTTCCTGCTTCCCAGACCAGAAAAACTAGAAAAACCAATGAAATCACAGGTTTTCTTTGCCCCCAGACCAGAAAAACTAGAAAAACCAATGAAATCAGAGGTTTTCCTGTTTCCCAAACCAGAAAAACCAGAAAAACCAATGAAAATCACAGGTTTTCCTTGCCCCCAGACCAGAACCTCTGTCCGAGTTCTCTGCGAGGTTGTAACGGTAGTTCTCTCGCATTTGAGCGGCTTTGCGCCAGCGAGGAAGGGGCGAGGAAGATACGAGGAGAGACAGACAACTCGAACGTTCATTTGAAAACCCACCAAAAGGTAGATCTTGGGGGGGGGTGCGACCATATATATAGATATATATACATTATTATAATATCTGATGTATATACATATACATATATATATGTGGAAAGATATGTATAATATATCTACATAAATATATATATATATATATATATATATGCATATGTGTGTATATGTATATGTGCATATGTACATATATATATATGTGTGTATATATACACACACTGGAAACCAACAAGGCACCGATACCGCTATACTCCCCGGGGGCTCCGCCGGCTTTCGAGACCCCCCGGGCCGCCTGGAGAGGGCTCGGGGGGAGGAAGCGGCCCCGGGGGACGGGGCCGAGGCTGCCGGGGCTCGGCGCCCTCGGCGCCCTCGGCTCCGGGCCAATGGTGCGGCCAGGGTGAAGCCGTGGCGAAGCGTCCTGGCGCGCCTGTAGCCCTACCAAACAGTGTTCCAAGAACCTTTTGTGGTTTCCACGAAATGTTCTGAGAGCATTTCTGGTTGGGACTGTCTTGGTTTAACACATCGGGCGAATGTTCTAGGAGCATGGTTTTTGTTCTTAGAGCGTTTTGGGGTTCTAGGAACATTTCGTGGTGGGACTAAAGGAATGCCGGGACGGTCGGTCCCTGCTCAACAGAGGTGCCCCTGTGGCCCGAGGGCCCCCCAGAGGATTTCCACGGAGGCACCCGCTCAGAGGAGGAGAGGGTGCCCATGCCTCTGCCCTCCCCTCGTCTTCCCCTTTTGTCGGCCTCCAGGGCCTCCCTCGTCGCCACCGCCGGCTTCGCCTCGGAGTCCTGGTCATCACCACCTACCAAACCATCCCAACCCAACCCAAACCATCCCTACCCAGCCATCCCAACCCATCGAAAAAACACGTATGGAACCCATACCCCCCCCCAACCCGAAATTCGGGTCTTCGGGTCGGGTTGGGGTGGTCTGGTAATTAGGTAGTCAGGTCAGAACGCGCCCCAGGAGAGGTCCTGGGAGTACAGCGGTATCGGTGCCTTGCTGGTGCCCCCACCCGCGGCCTCCAGAGCACTAATTTCTCTTTCAACATCCGCCTGTAAGGGGGACATGCCCGACCTAACCCCCCCCCTTGGCGCGCCGCCGACCCAGACATTGCCGCCGACGCGTCTCGTTCAATCCGCGGCCCCAGAGCTCCAGCAGCGGCGAGGCGTCCCAGCTCGCCTTGTGGTCCCACCAGCGAGTGCTGTTAGAACCTGTTGTTCGGGGGTGGACAGACCTCCTACCCCGACACGTCGATTCAGGAATTGCCCGTTTTCGGTTCGCGAGGGGGCGTCGCGGCCGTTATTTTTGCGGGTCTAGGTCCGTCGGTTTCGGTCCTAGGTCGTTTTCCTTAAATAAAGGGAGGTTTGGTCCACCGCCGATTTGTTGGCTCAGACTGCCTTGTTTTAACACATCGGGCTCATGCTCAAAGAGCACGGTTTCTGTGCTCAGAACATTTTTCGGGTTCTAGGAACCTTTCGTGGTGGGCCTATAGGATTGCCAGGACGGTCGGCCCCTGCTCAAAGAGTTCCCGATCCTTTCCCCGGGGCTGGTTTTTTGCGCCCCGGGTCCCAGCAGCGGGCCCCATGGAGACATCAACCAAGGAGAAGTCG